TTGTATTTCTATGATATACAGCTTCTGGTACTTGTATTTCTATGATATACAGCTTCTGGTACTTATATTTCTATGATCTACAGCTTCTGGTACTTGTATTTCTGTACATGTAGTCGTATAATATGCAGCTTTCAGCACATGTACGTGTATGATTTACCGTTTCTAATATATGTATTTGTATGGTCTACAGCTTCTGGAACATGTATTCGTATGACCTACAGTTTCTAATATATATGTATTCGTATGATCTGCAGCTTCTTCTTCAGTGGAATATTATTGAATGTAATAAATCAATTTATAACAACTATTGTAAAACATTTACGGAATAAAAAATTAAAAAGTTTGATAAATCACTGAACTGTGGATATATTTTATTTTCCATTTTGAATGTCTAAGGCAGAGTTTCCCAAACTGTGTTCCGTCCGAGGTTGATAGGTGGTCCGTGAAAAAATCCTAATTTCCATAAAATATTTAACACTTTTTGTACGATCATAATTTATTATGAAATATTTTCCTATGTATTAGAAGAATTATAGAAGATGCCATATCTATTCTACATAATATCTTAGTGGAGTGGTTTGTACCTAAAATATATTATAAGCATACAAATGTAAAAAGTCATTAATATGTAATTTGATTAAATAAATAAATGAATAATATACAAATCTAGATGGCGCTGCATACCCTCTACACCGATATTTCATGTGTCTAGTATACCGTAAGATTTTTCTCGGCTGAAAAGTGTTCTATGGGCAAAAAAGTTTGGGATACGCTGCTCTAAGGCATAGAATACTACTTACTTGAAAGAAACACAGTTGCTTTAAACTAATGTTGTTTTAATATAATTATTGGTTCAGTAGATAAACGGTAGGTACTGTTAGATAACATCCCAGTCAGTAGTGATCTACGTAAAAAAAAATTACTGATATTGGAATATAAAATTGGGAAATTTGTGTTTGATGAAATTCCTATAGAGGGATATTGCAAGTAACAACATCTTAAAATACAATTTTTTGTATGTGCCACATGTGTAATCTAGTATTTAAAACATTTTTTTTTTCAAGTTAAAAGTTCCTTATTTTATACTGAACGTATTTCTTTAGGTAAACTACTTTACCCAAACTTAAAATTTAATTTTATATATTACACACATTTGTAGAACATTTAAGGTGGCTGCTGGATCTATGTCAGCGCGCAGGCCCGGCATGGCCAGGTGGTTAGGGCACTCGGCTCGTAATCTGCAGGTCGCGGGTTCGAATCCCCGTTACATCAAACATGTTTGCCCTTTCAGCCGT